AACGCACTGCAGAGATCAGAGACGATGTGGGTTGGAAGGGACCTCAGGGGTCACATCTAGTTCAACACCCTGCTCCAAGCAGGACCAGCCCCAACTACATCATGCCGCCAAGGCTTTGTTTAGCCAGGTCTTAAACACCTCCAAGGATGGAGATTGCACCACCTTGGGTAACCTCCAGTGTTTCATCACCCTGCTAGTGAGGAAGTTTTTTCCTAATATCTAACCTCAACTTCCCTTGCTGCAACTTGAGCCCATTGCTCCTTGTTCTCTCATTTGCCCCCACTGCGAACAGCCCAGCTCCATCCTCTTTAGATGGAGGGAGTTAAAGGCTGCTATCAAATCCCCTCCTTGGTCTTCTCCAGACTAAATCAGCCCAGTTCCCCCATCCTCTCCTCACAAGTCATGCCCCCCAGCCCCAAACCATTTTAATTGCCCTCCACTGGACTCTCTCCAATGTGTCCACCTGTCTGTAGTGGGGGGTCCAAAACAGGACACAGGACTCCAGATGTGGCCTGACCAGTGCTGAATAGAGGGGAAGAATCACTTCCCTCCACCTGCTGGCAACGCTCCTACCAATGCAGCCGAATATGCCATTACCCTTCTTGGCAACAAGGGCACACTGCTGGCTCATATTCATCTTCTTGCCCACTGTCACCCCAGGTCCTTTTCTGCAGAGCTGCCCAGCCAGGGAGCCCCCAGCCTGTACCGATGCGTGGGATTGCTCCGTCCTAAGTGCAGGACTTTGCCCTTGTCCTCGTTGAACCTCATGAGATTTCTTTTGGCCCAGTCTTCCTCACCTCTTGCTTCTTTTCTGGACCATCCCGCCTGCAACATCACTCCAACACCACTGCAGGGGTTTTTTTAATGACTTTATTTGCCAGGGAGAGAAGGAAGCGAGGGTTTTTGCCTGGTTCCAGCTGTGAATAACAGGATGACCTATCTCGGAGGAAGATCTAAGGGCAGGGAGCAGGAAACACCACCCAGGAGAGCCTTGTTAATTCTGCAAAGGGATGGGACAAGACAGCGGCTGTTTTGTAAGGCAACGTGTTGCAATCGAAATAGAACAAAATCTGTCTTCACGCAGCTGAGACTCCAAATTCGCGTGTCTCACTACCCCTCACGTGCGTGTTTTACACAGGCTTGTCTTTTCACTGGAGGCTCTTGAAAGCAGGGATCCCAGCCTGAACCAGCTGAAAAACCCCACTGAATTGCTGTTGTCCTCTTTAAACATCATGCCTTCTGCCAGCCTGGACGTCACAGCTCCGGTAGGAATCAGTATGTGCATGTGCCCCATCTGTGCAAGGAGGGTGACCCGTCTGGGTGGCATTAGCAGCCCAGTGCATGGGACAGGACAGCTCTGAGCTCCTGTGTTCGCTTCCCAGCTTTGCCCTGGACCTGCTGGTGCTTCACTCAGTGCTGGAGGGGTCTGCAGCTGTGCAACAGCTTGCCTCCCCAGCTCCCAAGCCAGTTCAGGGACCCTCCATGCTTTATTCATAGATTCATAGACATCAGGGCTGGAAGGGACCTCAGAAGATCATCGAGTCCAGCCCCCCGCCCAAAGGGCAGGAAGTCAGCTGGGGTCATAGGATCCCAGCAAGATAAGCATCCAGTTTCATCTTGAAGGTGTTCAATGAAGGCGCTTGAACCACCTCCGGTGGCAGGCTGTTCCAGACCTTGGGGGCTCGGACAGTAAAGAAGTTCTTCCTTATGTCCAGCCTGAAACGATCTTGAAGTAGTTTGTGACCATTCGACCTCGTCATCCCTTGGGGCGCTCTGGTGAACAAACGTTCCCCCAGATGCTGGTGGTCACCCCTGATAAACTTGTAGGTGGCCATCAGATCACCCCTGAGCCTGCGCTTTTCCAGGCTAAAGAGCCCCAGGGCTCTCAGCCTGTCATCGTAGGGTCTGCTTCCCTGACCTCTGATCATGCGCGTGGCTCTTCTCTGGACTCTCTCAAGCTTCTCCACATCCTTTTTGAATTGTGGAGCCCAAAACTGGACACAGTACTCCAGCTGCGGCCTCACTAAGGCCGAGTACAGGGGGAGAATGACGTCCCGGGATTTGCTTGAGAGCAAAAATAAAAATGTTTGTGCACTCCCTGCTCCTCCATTGCAGAAATCTATTTTAATCCGTTTTTAAAAACACACTTATTCTCTAAAGCAATTGGCTCCAAAATGTGGTACCTCTACTTTTGCTATTTACACACTCTCCTTTTTCATCCCTAAAGCTATTTCTTTCGGATTTGGGGGTTCCCAGTTCCTGTCATCTTGCTTTAGTTCAATCTATTCTAGATGGAGCTTTACCTGACGATTGCCTAAAAACGAGGCGCTGAACGCCGCTGCTTAGCGGCGTTCCTGTCAGAGAGTGCATTTTGCACGGGTTCTGTGATTTGGATTGACATACCACTTGTTTCTGTATAAATATGAACTCGCCATTTTCTCAACCTCCTGAAACCCTCAATATTTTGGATCTTGGAAATGGCCCGTCTCCTTATATGGTACTGGAGCAGCCGCTAAAGTTAGAGAGAGAGTTTTGCTAAAAGCTCTTTCCATTCTGGTGTTAGAAAGGAAAAAGGAGAATTGGCAATTGGGAAATTCAAGTGCAACTGCTTTCTCCGCTTGGTTCAGTAGAGGCAGAGTTGCTTGCTGGCATTCAGAACTCACTCTCTATTCTCCAAATAGTTTTGAAAAATAACAGGGTTCAGAAGGATGCCAAGGTGGGCTAAGTGGAGAAACGTGAATGTAGTGGGTAGGGTGCGTGAGAAAGTCTGTTACTAGAAATGGATTTACCCTGATCTTGCAAGCTGCTCTGCAAGGGGGGATTCCTGCCCTGCAGGAAATCAATGGGGTCTGTGGGATGGAAGGGACAACCCAGCTTTTGGCATATTTTCCATACTCTATGGACCCCTGGATTTGCAGTTTAGTACATCTACACAAACAGCCATCTATCTTATTCTCATCCTTCTAGAACCACATGAAGGCTGTCACTCCAGCTCATATGTTATTCAGAGTTAATTCAGTGTCTGCAATTTTAGTCACTATATATGGATAACTATAGGAAGCTGAGTGGGGCTCACTCCGCTACATACTGTACAAATGTTGTCAGACACAGTCTATTATGTCCAAGTATTGTGTCCACATTTTGCAATAGTTTTAAAAAAAGCAGGCAGTAGTTTCCTATTCTTTTCAGCAGGGGTCCAATGTTGCCCCTGCTTTTCCTCCGGCTCCCCACATATCTGAAAAAGGACTTTTTATTGTCCTTGATGCTCAAAGCTAGCTGGAGTTCAGTTGCAGCCTTGGCTTTCCTGGTCTCCAAGAGGTCCTTATTGAGGTCCTTTCTGCGAGTCCATGAAGGCACTGAGCTGCCTGGCTTAGAGCTTCGCCTCTTCCTAGGTGCTTTGACCTCCGCTGGGCACAGGCCCTATGGGTCCTCCATGAACAGAGTTGGACCTGGTCCCATCTCCCCATCCCCTATTCCCCCACCAGTTAAATTCCACCCCCAGCCACGGTATTAATTAGGATGCTGCTGCATCCTCTGCGCAAATCCTACAGCAAAGGCATCGTCTTGTCCATCTCTCGCTGGAGAGACAGACATCCTCCTGTCCGTCTCTCAGTGTTGGTGCCTGGTTCTGTCACTGGCACCCACACCTGTTTCTGCATGGGTGGCAATGATGAGCCGTCAGGCTCTTGGCCCGGCGCAGGGGTCTCAGCTGGGCTGCCGTGCTCTTGTGAGACAGGCACCAAGTTTTCCCACTATTCATTTCAGGAAAAATAAGATGGGCAGGATCTCAACCAAGCCGTGACCTTGAACCTACACCTGGGGTGAGCACAGCAGCCCTCAACGCCACTGTGAAATCTCAAGTGAGATTTTTTTCCCCTTGGTGAGAGCAAGCCCTGATGTGCCACGAGACGGGCACTCCCATACTGGGTATGGGGCTAAGCCCCCAGTGTCCCTGCACCTGGGGTCCTGACGGGGCACCTGCATGGGCAAAGACGGGCGTTATTCTCCCCCTGGCCGGCCCATGTGGCAAAGGGGGCTTGGGCAAGCAGGGAAGTGCAGCCCTCGGGTCCCTTCCAGCCACTTCCTCCAGAGGAAGGAAACGTGTCCTGTTTCTCAATGGCCCTGCCAAGGCCTGCACAAAAGAGGCTGTCAGGGAGGGGGTGGGCTCTGCTCCGAGCCTGGGATCCTCAAAGGGCTCAGAGGCATTGGTCTGCGCTTGGCAGGTGCTGGCACCGCTGGGGTCCACTGCGTGCCCCCTTCATAATTGCTGCCCAGCCAATCTCCCTCCTGGAGCTCCTTGCTTGCCCCGGGACCACTGTTGTCCCCGCGCTAATCGAACCCAAGCCTCGTCCGTGGTGGATCCCAGGGATGGAGCCTGTGCCTGCATGTCCCAGAGCCAAACTGCGCTCGGGCTTTGCTGAATCAGGGCCTGGCCTCTCATCCCCCCCATGTCAGCGTCTCCAGCTCTCTTAGCAGAGAGGCCGCCGGAGGGGTTGCCCCCAGACCCTGTCTGGCCTGACTTCCCTCTCACAGCCGTGGCTGGTGGGCTCTTCCTTGGCTGCTGGAGGGTTAATGGTCCCTCGCTGTTTTTAATCACCTTAATCCAATGCGGCTCCCCCCTAGCCCTGATGCAAACCCCGCAACTGTAAGTGAAGCAGCTGCGGTTGAGCATCCACCTTCTGGGGGGTTAATTAATTAATTAATTAATTAATTGGCCTGAATGAACCCTTTCTCAGCTGGGTATGGCAGAGGCTGGCTGGGGCTGAGCCACCCCCCCACTATCTTGCAGCCCTCCGGCCCCGTGGGCTGAAATCTGTCTGGCCATTGCAGCTGTGCAGGGGGCCACGGCTGCTCCCCACTCCTACCCCACTGGTGACCCACGGGGCAGCCGGGGCCTTGGCCAGGCCCCGAAGCCAGAGGCAGCTCCCGGCGCGGCCTGACGGACGAGGACATGAGCTCGGTGGGCCGAGGGGGAAGGGAGTGGAAGGGCCGCCCAGCACAAAAGCCCCTTCTTCTCCCCGCGCGGTCTCCCAGCTCCGGCAGCGTCGGCAGAGAGGCCCTTTCTTCCCCCACCTCCGCCAATGGGCTGGAGCCGGCGGGGCCCGAGCGCTTGGCTGCCGTCCACCGGCACTGCCAAGGAATGTGGGAAAGGGGAAAAATAACACAGTGCAGCGAGCGCGGGCGATGCAGCCAGCTCCGGGCGCCGGGAGGACACCGGGAGGCCGTGGCGCAGACTGGGGACCCCCATCCACCCCCCAGGTTTGGAGCCCTCCTTCTCTCCCACTTTGGGGTCTCCACGCTTTGTCCCAGGTCTCTGTCCGGCCCGGAGGGAGGGTGGGAGCGGCCGCCTGTTGCTCAGGGAGGCCGGACACTGCTGAGCTCTGTCTTTTTTGCAGCCTGCCTCAGTTTCCCCTGGGTGTGGAGCCACACAACTATTGGGCTGGGGGGTGGGGGTGGCATCAGGGCTCCCCCTCCAGGTGGGGTGGCAGGCAAAGGCAAGAGAGGGTTAGCAAGGCAAAGTGACTTGCCCAAGGCCATGCAGGTGGGCTGTGGCAGGGCTGGGGCCAGGCGAGGCCTCTCTTTTCTCAGGGTCTGTCAGCAATGGACCCGGCCCCAAGTGCTGAGGGCGTGGGGGACAGCCAGGGTCAGGGGGCACCCACCACACTTGGGCCAGGCGGGCATCCAGCTGCAACAGCTCTGAGATGGGACCAGTCTCTCCTGCCACCTTCACGCAGCCTTGGGCAAGTCCCTTCATCTCCGCAGTGCTCACGTGCAGCCCCTGGCGCGGCCAGGCCCTGCCCAGGGGTGGAGGGACACCCTGGGGCTCCCGCCCTCCCCACCGGCCAGGGCTCATTGCTGGGACCCGGCACCTGGTGAAGTTAACTCCCCAACCCCGGGTGCATCCAGGTGGGGGGTATCCCCACTTTCCCCCAGCTCCCCCCACGCCCCTCACAAACTTATGTAACCGGCTTCTTGGCCGGTGCCTTGTGCCTGAGCCTCTGGGCCTCACGTGGGCTGGCCGCTGGCTTCAATGGAGCCTTGTGTGAACTTGACAAAGGGGAGATTGATTTCCAGGCGGGAGGGGGCTGCCACTGGGGGGGTTGGCTTGGCTTTGCCCAGCGTTTCTGTGGCGGAGCAGAACCCTGCCAGCCAGGGAGGCGCGGCGGCCGCGGAGGCAGGAGGCTGAGCCCAGGGGTCACCCCAGGATCGGAGCCCCGCCGCAGGTACGCAGGTATGCACCAGCGCCTGGAGCACATCCCAGCCCCGCTCATCTCTGCCCCAAAGACCTGCCAGCCCAAGGCAAGGCAGGCGAGGGGGAGGGACGGCAGGTGCTCCCCCCTCTCTGCTGACTCTGTACAGCACCAGCGCAGGGAGGCCCGGTGCTTGCCGGGGGCTGCTGGAAACTGCATAGCCCATCCAGGGACCTGGCATATGCCTCCCCTCACCCCCGAAATCTCCAGCTCCAGGAGTCCTGGGATGATAGGTGCTTTCTTCATCTGTCTTAAAAGAAGTTCCCAGCCCTCGCGGGGACTCCAAGGCGCCGTGGGGACAGGTCCAGGAGGAAGAGGTCTTAAAAGCTTGTGATTTTTAAGGCGAGCTCGAGATGTTTTGCGGGGGCGGACTCAGACCGGAGGCAGCGGCTGGAAAGAAATCGGTAGCTGGGTTGGTTTTCTCTGCTCCCTCTCCCCAGGCCATGGAGCGCCGGCCGTCGTGGCGGGTTGCCTAGCAAGGGGCCACAGCAAAGACCCCGCCGGCAGGGAGCAAGACCCCCGGGGCTCCAGTCCTGCTCTCCCGCTGACTGCTTTTCATCGCTCTCCCCGGCCCGAAAATGCTGACGATCAAGTTGCCCCAGATCTTCAGGGTTCACCAAGTCCCTCGTGTGAGTAGGGGCCCCGCTCGGCCCTGCTGGGGCATCTGGGGCCGTTCAAACCAGTGACTTTCCACCCAGCACAAGCCCCGACTGGTCTCCCTTGTTTACCCGCCCGGCTGGGAATTGCTGGGGGCCACATTGTGGCTACGTGACATTACTGGTTGTGACGCTAAGGGACTTTGCGCCTCTCCGGTTGGCAGATGGGTGGGACCAGGGGTGTCGTGGGGCTGGCGGCGTAGGATCAGGGCCACGGCTGGGGTTGGAGTGGGAGGGAAAGACTGAACCAGAGACCTGGTTGGTTCCTGCCTTTGCCATGGACTCACAGGGTCCTCCTGACCCCATGTGCCTCAGTTTCCCCATGGATAAAAAGTCCTCAATACTGACTTCCTCCCCTCCCCACCCCCCCCAGATCTTTTGGGAGGATGGCATCATGTCGGGGTACCGGCACCCCAAGAGCTCGGCCTTGGACTGTATCCTCAGCTCCTTCCAGATGACCAATGAGACCGTCAACATCTGGACCCACTTCCTGCCCACCTGGTGAGGGCGGCACAGGGGAGGGGACTCACCAGGCCCAGCCCCCATCTGGGGTGGGGGCTCCTTGGGGGGCAGGGGCAGGGGCAGGGGCTGGACTCCTGGGTTGCATTCCAGCTCTCCCAGGGAAGGCCGGTGTCACGACCCTGGCTGGGAAGGGGCTTCTCTGTGCCTCAGTTTCCCTTCTGGGGATGGAACTGAGCTCGCCCCAACCCTGGGAGCTCGCGGCAGGCGGGTCCAGCGGGCATGGAGGTCACGCCATGGCTCCGGGATCCCGCAGGTACTTCGTGTGGCGGTTCCTGGCGCTCTCGTCCTCGCTGGACTTCTGCCAGGATGCCTACCACTGGCCCTTCCTTGTCTACCTGCTGCTGGTCTGCCTGTACCCCTTCACCTCCAGCTGTGCCCACACCTTCAGCACCATGTCCCCCCACGCCCGCCACATCTGCTACTTCCTCGACTACGGGGCGCTCAGCCTCTACAGCCTGGGTGAGCCAGGACCGAGGGGTTGGGATCCCCTGCCATCAACTCAGCCCCACTGATGCTAAAGGACCCCCTCGCCACCCCCATGTCCGATCTGCCCCTCTTTGGGGCTGAGAAACCCAGCCCCTGCATGTAGTTTCCTCTGGCAGCTCCCTTCTGGGTCAGGGTCAGGGTCCGGGTCTTGCCTGACTCCTCCCCGGCTCACGTTGCAGGCTGCGCATTCACGTACGGCGCCTACGCCATGCCGGATGCCTGGGTGAACAGCGCCTTCCACCACTGCTTCGTGCCCGTGGCCGCGCTCAACTCCTTCGTCTGCACCACGCTGTCCTGCTACTCCCGGTACGGACCCAGCGGCACCGGGGCCCTGCGGCTTGGGGGTCTCCCAGGGCTCCTTGCCCTGCAGCCCCCATCTTTGGAGGGGCCAGCGGGTGGGGCACCCCCCTCCACCCTTCCCTTCCTCTCCAGCCAGTCGTGTCCATTGTCCCGGACCCATCTGGGGTCAGCGAAGGGGCCCTGGGGCTTTCGCTCCAGTGCCTCCAGCCAGCAGGATCGTGTCCGGCTGGTTGGGGTCAGCAAGGGGCTGCTTGCTCGTCATGGAGCTGGGACACTCGGATACATGGGTCCTTTTAGCTTCTCTATCCGGCGCCCCCCACCCCTTCCCCAGCTCAGCATCCTGCCCCGTGGCCACATGCCCTGACAGCCGCTGGCCCCAGCCTTCCTGTCTCAATTTAGTGGTGGAAAAGACGTGCTGGCTGGGAAAGGAAGGGGACCCCTCCCCGCTATTAAAGCACCGCTGTGGTCTAGAAAGGGCTGAGGGGCCTGTCCTGCACCCACAGGTCTGCCCCGATTGACCGTCTTGCTGTTGACCGCGATGCTCCCCTCATCGCCTTCGAGTCCCAGCAAAGCCGGGCCCAGAGGGGGTCACATCTGAGCCACCCCCCATTAGAGGCAGGCTCAGCCCTGCCTGGACCAGCCCAGAGGAGGGTTTAGCAGCCCATGTCTGAATGGAAGATGGAAGAGCATTAGGAGCTGGCTTTACGGGCCTAAACCCCTTGGCCCTTCTCTGTCCCCGCAGCTTCCTGGAGCTGGAGTTCCCACGGCTCAGCAAGGTGCTGCGCACGACGGCCTTCGTCTACCCCTTTGTCTACGACAACGTCCCGCTCTTCTACCGGGTGAGTCCCTGGCCAGTGGCGCCAGGCTCTGGCGTGCCCGGCGGTGTTGGCACAGACGGGCTGGGATGGAAAGGCCACGGGTCCGGGTGTCTTAACCGGGCCCGGAAGCACTGGGGGAGGTCGGGCCTCGCGCTCGGTGCTGGACGTTACCACGAGGGAGTCACGGGGTTTACAGGGCAAAGGGCCGGGGAGGAACGTGGGGGTCACTGCGTGTACATGTGAAGCCCTAGATCGCCCTGCTGTAGGCATGGGTCGGACCCAGGCACCCTACCCCCAGGGCTCTGCTCTACCCCCTAGCTCACACTGCCAGGGACCCCAATCGGACCCCCCTCCATAAACCCTGGCCCAGCGCCCCCCTCCCTCTCCTTCCTCTAACCACGCTGCCCCGCTGTCCCCTGCCCGCTCTCCTGCCAGCTCCTGTTCTGCTTCGGGGATGACCGCGCCTGGACCGAGGCTGTGGCCGGCTACTGCTACCACCTCTTCTTCGCCCTCCTCACCGGCTTCCTCTTCGCCTCCCACCTGCCAGAGCGCCTGGCACCCGGGCGCTTTGACTACATCGGTGAGGTGGGGGGTGATGCCAGGGGCCGTGGGGCATCGTGCCAGGGGCTGGCGCTGACCCCCCCACCTCTTCGCAGGGCACAGCCACCAGCTGTTCCACATCTGTGCCGTGGTGGGCACCCACTTCCAGCTGGAGGCCGTGTTGGCCGACGTCTGCGGGCGCCAGGCCTGGCTGGGGGCCCGCGCGCCTGCGCCCACCTTTGCCCACACCTTTGGCACCGTGGGGGCAGCCGCCCTGGGCAATGGCGCCATCATCGCTGCCTTCACGGCCGCCCTGCTCCGCGTGCCCGCCGCGGCCCCGCTCCTGCAGGGCTCCATGCCCGATGGGACCCAGCCCAAGGAGCAGTGACGCAGCCCCCAGCCCCCAGGACAGTGTGTGGGGTGGGAGCAACTCGCACCCAGGACCGGCGGCCGCACGTGGAGTGGAGACCCCAGGCGTCCTGAGGCTGCCTCTTGCTCTGCCCAGCAAAGGACCCCAGGAGTCCCGGCCTGCTTTTTGCTAGGGAAGGAGCCCCGGTGTCCCGGCCCCTCTGCGGGCACCGGCCCCAGGAGAGGAACGCAGGCGTCCCGGCTCCCTCTTAGCCAGGTGAACCCCAGGCTGGGGCTCTGCAGTCTTAATTCATCTCTGACCCCCTACAGAGGGGGCGTGGGCAGGTGGGGTGGCCTAGGATAAGTCTGTCCTGATGGGCCTCAGTTTTCCTGTCTGTACATGGGGCTAACACCACTTACCCCTCTGGCCTCAACCTGCTGGGTGCTGCGGGCCTTGGCCTGAGCCTGGCAGGGCCCAGAGGCTTGCACAGGGGCTGGGCATCACGCTCAGTCCTGCCAGTGTCGGCACAGTCAGAGTCTGCCACCTGCGCCCACGGCATCACCCCTCCCAGGGCAGCTGCCCCCATGGCTCACGGGGTCCTGCACTGTCCTGGTCCCCCCACACACCGCCTTGAGGGGCTGGGGTCAGGAACGGGGTGTGGGAGCAGCAAGTCGAGGGCAGGGGGGGTTGGAGGGGTGGGGAGAGGCCAGGTCCGGTTTGAGCTGGGCTGGGTTAACCTTAGTGAGGGGGTGTGTGTGTGTGTGTGTGCGTGCATGCATGGGTGTTCACATTGGTGTGTGTGCAGAAGTATATGTGCACAACATGTATATGTTCAGGTGTGTGTGCGGGCACATCTGTGTGCATATTCATATGTCTCTGTGTGCATGTCTGTGTGTGCCTGCATTTGTGTGGGTGTGTTCACACCTGTGTGTACATGTGAGTGCACATTTGTCTGTGGGTACACGTTTGTGTGTGTGGACACGTGTGCATGTCTGTGTTCACATGCATGTGCACAGAGGTGTGCACGCGTGCATGTTTACCTTTGTGTTCTTACACGTGTGTGCGCGCGCACCTGTTTGTGTATGCACGTGCACACAGAGGGGTGTGGCTGCACGTGCATATCCATATGTGCGTGCACACGTGTGTGCATGTGTTAGAGCCAGAGGGAAGAGCTGGCCAGTGTCAGGGAGGCCGTGACCTGGGCAGAGCTCAGCTGGGCACAGCCAGGCCCTGCCCCGGGGTAGCTGCCCAGAGAGCGGGGCCTAGAGGCCGCCCCAGGTCTGTCCCTCACGGCCGTTGCTTCCACCCTCTCCCCTACCCTCCCTTCCCCTCCCTGGTCTGGCCCCAGGGGCAAGTGTTGCTGCCCCGAGCCCACAGGTCGGGGGGACAGGACCCACCCTGCAGAGTCCCCGGTGCCTCGGCTCTGCCACCATGGGCAGGGTGGACGGGGGCACCGGAGCAGGCCGGAGCCGGACAGGACGTGGCCAGAGAGGTCGGGCGGGCGGGC